TTGTTACTTGTTTACAAGTATTGTTGTTATATAGAATGCAGAATTTTTATTTAACTTTCTGATAATTTATAACATCTCTTCTACTGGGTCTAGTATCTGAGTTGAACACTTTCAAGTACACTTAATGCTTCAGTAGGTGGTTTCTAATGAAAATTAAATTATTTTACAAAGGGATTAGATCAGGGCTCCTGAGAATTGGAGATGTCTGAACCCTGTCAGCCCTGCTCTTATCTACAGACCCCAACCCCCGTCTGTCATACTTAGTGTCTCCTGAGATTCTATGAGACCTCTTACCAATTTCTTCCCAGTGGAGTGCTTGCTAGTCATTCACTACAGGTGTACCTAAGCTCTGCGCTCATTTATTACTGCTCTTCTGAAAAACTATTGCACTCTTTGCATTATTTTTTAAATGATACTGTGCATCAGTATAAACAGAAAAAGCATGTCACTTGTCAAAAGTAGAAGTAATGTAAGTGCCATTGTTTTAACAAATTGTAGCAAATGTTAGGGACCAGCGCAAACATGTACATTCTTAGTCTGACCAAGATTAAAAGAAAACTGAAAACTATGTAACTTTTACTCTGGGTTTGAATATTTGAAGTAATACCATTTTCTTTTGAGCTTCACAGGTTTTCAGAACCAGGTTCACTGTATTTTTGCTGGTTATGTATGATGACTAATCTTGATAGCAGTAACATTACCTTTCTGCTTTGCACTGAGAGTTTTGGTTAGAGCCATTTTAGTCTTTAAGAGACATAAATACTGATACAATGATTCCTGTGAGCTAAACAATATTACAAGCACATTAACTCTTGTAATTCTCAGGACAACACTTCAGAAGATACAGATTGTAGAGTTCAGAAAGTTTAGGTCAAAATTAAGTGGGGTTGTGGTTTAAAACCCAACAGTCTGATCTTAGGAGTATTTGTTCAGTACACATACTGTTTCTCTAAATGTAGAATATACACCAGCAGCTTAATACCCATTTCTTGGAATTGCTGAAAGAAATTATTCAGGATGCTGAGGTAGAAGGAGCATAAATTCAAGACCAATTTTAGTTACATAGTGAAATCTTGTCTTAAAATAAAATAAATCACCATTACTAATATCCTATCTGATAAAGCTTGTTAGAGACTATTAAGTCTTCTGGTTAAAAACCAGAAACCTCCCAAAAAAGCTTTCCAAATAAGTTTTTAATAAAACCTAGTATGTGTGGTTTTATTAGATTTTAACAGTTTACTAGTCATCAGGAAAATGCACATTGAAACCCTGTTCCAGTTAGGATGCAATTATCAAAAATGCAACATACCAGCAACAATGGGAGGAACAGGAAGTCTCAGATACCGTTGGTGGGACTAAATTAATGTGGCCGTCATGCAGAATGGTATCAAAGATGTGCCATATGATACTGCTGTCCCTCCTCTCGATGTGTCTGAAGGAAAGTAAAGCCGTGGGTCAGGAAGACACCTGCACTCAGGTTGGCTGCAGTGTCGCTCACAACAGCCAGAATATGCATCAGCCTACTTATCTATCCAAGAGTGAATGCATAAGAAAAATATGGTGGGGCTGGAGAGATGGCTCAGAGGTTAAGAGCACTGACTGCTCTTCCAGAGGTCCTGAGTTCAATTCCCAGCAACCACATGGTGGCTCACAACCATCTATAATGAAGTCTAGTGTCCTCTTCCGGCCTGCAGGCATACATGCAGGCAGAACACTATACATAATAAATAAATCTTTATGGAAAAAAAAGAAAAATATGGCACATAAACAAATGGAATGTTACTTAAGACAGAATAAGCTAGGTATGGCCACACACAATAACAGTTGCCAGAGGCAGGAAGATAGTAAGTTCAAGTCTAGCTTGAGCTACACAGCATGAGTGTGTCTTTAAATGAAAATAGAGGGCTAGAGAGATGGCTTGGTGATTAAGATTGCTTGCTGCTATTTCAGAGAATTTGAGTTTGCTTTCCAGCACCCAAATCAGACAGCTTACAACTACCTGTAACTAACTCCGGGAGATCTAAATGTTTTAAAAGAAAATAATTAAATTCTGCCACAGAATTATTTGATTTAACATTATGGTAAATGAAATAAGCCATACACAGATAACATACATACTACATATCCTCTCATACAGAGGCTTAAAGGTCCACCTGAATGATGAATAGTGGCAACTTTTGGTTCAGAAAGGCAGAGGGATAAGGACAAAGGGAAGGTGGATAACAGGTACCAAAACACAGGAGGAATTTGGTCTGGTGCCCTGCAATACGGTGGGATGTTAGTCAGAATACCTGTTCATATTTTAGGAAGATATAAAAAAGAGAAGAGGTTGAAAGCTCTTTGGGGAAGCCATAATTGTCATTCTTTTGTTACTGTGGAGCTTTCTAAGAGTGGATAGTAATCAGAAGATTCGTGCATCTCAGTGTCAAACTACAAAGCTATACAGTTCGGTGTGATGCTGGACAAGAGAGCACAATTCAGTGAGCAACTGAACACAGACATGTGCAGAGAGTTCAGTAGGGGGTGGAAAGATGGCTCCATGATTTAGAACTGGCTTCTCTTGCAGATCTGTGTTCAGTTCCTAACACAACATGGCAGCTCACAACACCCTGCAACTCCAGTTTAGGGGACCTGATAACCTTCTTTTCCTGCCTTCCATGGGCACCTGGTCACACCTGGTTCATGTACATAAATTCATTCAGTCATACAAACACTCAAATCTTTTTAAAAACATTTCAAAGTAAATAACATCTAAATGTAAGAACCAAAATTAAATGGGAAAACTTTTAAGTTTGAAATTTTTTTTTTATGTGGGGGCAAGGGTAGTGTGCATGTCAAGAGGTCAAAGGACAATTTGTGAGTACTTGGTACACATATTGTACACATATGTGCATGCAAGCAAAACACTCATACACACAAATCTGAAAGTCAAATATTAAGCCTTTGTAATTCAGTAACATAAATTGTGTAACAGCCGTGTGGCGGTTGCACATGCCTTAATCCCAGCACTCGGGAGGCAGAGCCAGGCAGATCTTTGTGAGTTCCAGGCCAGCCTGGTCTACGGAGCAAGATCCAGGACAGGCACCAAAACTACACACAGAAACCCTATCTCAAAAAACCAAAAACAATAAATAAATTGTGTAACAATCTAAATAGGCCTTTCACCCAAAAAAGGTACAGTTACAGGATATATATCATTAACTACCAGGGAAAATCAAATCAACAACAGTAAGATACTAATTTATACTTAACAAAAAAGATAATGTGGGGTTGGGGATTTAGCTCAATGGTAGAGCGCTCCTGGGTTCGATCCTCAGCTCAAAAAAAAAAAAAAATTCTGTCTCAAAAAAACAAAACAAAACAAAAAGATAATGTGTGCCACAGAGAAGGCTCAGTAAAGGTGCTCACCGCCAAGCCTAGCAACATGAGTTCCATCCTCGGAGCCCATGCACTAGAAGGAGAGAACCCTTATACACTCTAGTAAAAAACAAAATAATACAGTTACTAGAAAGCCGTTGGGTAGTTCCTTGGAGAGTTAGAGGTGGAGTTACCATATGACCAAGCAATTCCTCTCCCAAACATTTACTCAAGATAGCTGTGTGCACACAAAGCGTTGTACATAAGTGGTTGTGGTAACATTATTTATACTAGCTCAAAAGTGGAAACAGTATGCAGAATGGCTCGTCAGGTAAAGGTACTTGCTGCACAAGCCTGGAGATCTGAGTTCAGTTCCTGAATCGAACAGTGGACCACTCCTAAAAGTTGTCCTAGTTCACATGCATCCCATGTGCACTCCAGCCCACACTTGTCACACACAATAACTAAAAAAATTAAAGTAGGAATTACCAAAATGTTAAAGCAACTAACTGCTGGTTGGTTAAATAAATTGAAATATATCCACATAATGAAATATTTTTTCTCTATTCATTAAGTGTTTTCTGTGCAAGCATGAGACCTAAGTTCAGATCCTTAGCACCCAGGTAAAAGCCAGTACATCAGTGTGTCTCTGTATCCCAGTACTGAGAATGGAGAGTTTAGATAGACAGCCAACGTGGCTGAATCATTGAGCTCCAGGTTCAGAGAGACCATAGCTCAAAGAATAAGGTTGCACATGAGGGAGGGAGAAGTAGAAGGATATCTGTAAGTTTGAGACCAGCCTAGTGCACAAACTTGCAGGCCATGCCTTTAAAGTAGACTAAGGTTGAGAGCAGTTCAGGAAGACACTCACCACCTCAATCTCTGGCTTCCACATGTGCCCATACACAGCAAAGTACTGATAATATTAAAACAGATGAACCGTGAAAGCATGTTAAGTGAAAGAAATCACACACACACTACATACTAATGATAGTACTATATGAAATGTCCAGAAAAGGCAAGTCATTAGAAACAGATTAGTAATTTCCAGAAGCTGGAGAGGAAGCAAAGAGAAGTGAACATGATTGCTAGTGAGTGAAAGATCTCTTTTGGAGGAGATGAAGGTGTTCTGAAGTTTGATGGTGGTGATGTTTCCATATCTGAGTATGTGCTGGAAATGGGTGGCTTTTCTTTTGTGTGAATGTATTTCAAAGCCAAGTTTTTAAAGAGGTAACTTAATAGTTGTTATCAAGCAAGCATGCATGTCAGATTTCTGACTTAGGAAAAATTGTACGTTAGGCAAATAGTAATCTGTATTTCTGTTACTGGTATGTAAAAAATAATAAGGTTCTGGGAAGATGCACTTTTTCTGCAGGCATGAGGACCTGACTTCAAATCCTCAGCACCCACATGAAAAGGTCATCATAGACATCCATGCCTTTAACTTCAGCATTGGGGCACAGAGATAGGTGGATGCCAAGAGCTCGACGCGTGGCCAGCCTAGTCAAATTGCAAATTTCTGGTTTAGTGAGAGACCCGGTTTCAAAACAATAAGACAAATCAATAGAAGACACCCCATATCCTGCTCTAGCCTTCAGGAACACATACACAAAGAAAGTAATTAAATTATTCTCTATTTTCAGAAAGGAGAAGATGAATATGCCAGTATTGATGCCATTGTTGTATCTGTGGGTGTTGATGAAGAAATTGTGTATGCCAAGTCAACTGCCTTACAGGTAAGAGGCTTACAGCGTTTAGTTCCTGGATCTAGTATGTATCTCAGTATTAAAAGATGTGCTTAATATTTGGGAAGCTCTGTACTTGATCTCCAGCATTATCAGTTAGTCCCATCACCTGTGTTGAGGTTCTCAGTGGTACTAACTTACACGTCAGAGTCGATGTAGAATGTCTTCATTATCACATAAATTTCATTGACTTTAGCACTGAGTAGAATCTAAGGAAAAAAGGAGTTTGTGGATCAAATGTATTTAATTGCATGTAACAGTTTCCTGCTATTCCATTTTGCTCATGATAGGAAGTAGCTGCTAGAGCTTTGGTCGTTCTTTCTTTACTCTGAGCAGAAATACAGAGAAAGGAAAACTAACAACCTTCCTGTTTTAAAATGGCTTACTTGGAGTCTGACATGATACATGTACTCATTTCTTATTCACCAAGGTATAATCTATTAGCCAGCCATACTTACTGGCAGAAAGGGTCAGAAGTAGAGTCTTGCTGTGCATTCTGCCTTGATTTTAAATGAATGAAGAAAGACATGAATAGTTGTAGTCAGCTGCAGTCTCCAAGAAGATAAAATGCTCACTTTACTGGAGGTGTGCCTGTCTCTTATGCTGTGTGTTTCTGTTCTGAGCAGTGACAGGTAGCTCCCATAGCATAAGCTCTCTGGAGCTTAGCATTCATAAGGCTCTAGACACCCTTCATTGCCAGGGAAAAGTAAGTGAAACACAAATTGTCCAAATGATTTGATATTTTTTACAGTAATTTTTTGTTTTGTTTTGGGTTCGTTGTTTTTTGTTTGTTGATTTCAGAGAGACAAGGTTTTTCGGTGTAGCCCTGGCTATCCTGGATCTCTCTCTGTAGACCTGGCTGGGCTCGAACTCACAGATAACTACCTGCCTCTGCCTCTCAATGATTTGATGTTTTTAACTGTGAAATATTTTAAGCACATAAAAGAAGATGGAATCATATGTCACATACACACACACACACACACACACACCCATGTACCATTCAGCACCTATTATTCAACCCCTGATCCAGATATTTGTATCCACATCAAAGCTACTCCATCCCAGATCTTAAAGTTAACCTGGCTATCTTATTTTATCAATAATATGTTTATCTATGATACTTTTGTTACTGTTGTTTTTTCCACAGACATGGCTCTTTGGTTATGAACTAACTGATACAATCATGGTCTTCTGTGATGACAAAATCATCTTCATGGCCAGCAAAAAAAAGGTGGAGTTTTTGAAACAGATTGCCAATACTAAAGGAAATGAGAATGCTAATGGAGCCCCTGCCATAACACTGCTCATCAGAGAGAAGGTTAGCACCAATAAATGTTGTTACAAATGTGGGGTAGAATGTTAAGCATTGAACACAAACAAGTGCCTTGGGGACTTTTAAAAAGCATGAAAGAAGGCCAGACATGGTGGAACACACCTCTAATCCCAACACTTGGGAGACAGAGACAGGCAAAACAAACAAACAAAAGATGAGAAAAGCTGTAGCTCTAATCAGTTGGGTAAGAAGAAAAGAGCTCTGGAACTGTTAGCTTGGCGGCAGTGGACCGAGCTGTAGAGTCTAGTCAGCAACACTAACTTGATTGACCACTTTCTGAAGATACTGTTTGTTTCCATTGCAATAACTAATTAGAGCTCATACCTAACAATCCTTAAGAAAGCTTAGATGTACTCATTTTTCAGAATTTTCTGAGTATTTGAGTTTTCAGCCTTTTTCTAAAGCACGAGAATAGTCTTGTCAAAATACCCAAAGAAAATGTCTGTCAGCATTGGCTATGTGATAATCTGCTCTGAAGAAATAGGTGTGGCTCAGAAACCATCCTTTCCGTGGTTTAGATTATTACTCTCTGCATGTTGCTAGGTAGAAAATAGAAGTCTAATTCTTCAATTAACATTTCCTTTCCTGTGGCATTGATAGAACGAAAGTAATAAAAGCAGCTTTGACAAAATGATTGAAGCCATTAAAGAAAGCAAGAATGGCAAGAAAATTGGAGTGTTCAGCAAAGACAAGTTCCCTGGAGAGTTCATGAAGAGCTGGAGTGACTGTCTCAACAAGGAGGGCTTTGACAAAGTAAGGGTCTTCGGGGAGTAGCACACTGAAAGGAGACAGGAGGGGGAGTGGGCTTCCCTCACCGCTGAGGGTTTCCATTTGGGAAAACCCATGTTCATTCACATTTCTGTTTTCCATGTCCTTTGGCTAAGTACTATTCCAGTTTAATTTTCATTCAGAAAATGAGGCATTCAGAAGCAGTGCAGCCACATTAGGTAACTCACATTAGATAGTTGAGAAAAACTTCTTATCCAGAAACAGTTTTGGGGTCATCTTTTCCCTGCCTTCCTGCCTTTCTTCCTTCAGCATTTACAGTCACCTTTAGAAGAACAAATTTTATGTTTTAGGTGGTACATTAGCTAAATGTCTCATAGAATATACGTGTGTTCTAAGAGGGATTTGTTCAATGTTAAGTGTTTAGCAGTTCTGGAAGAGACTGAGCACGCTGAGTAGATGGCATTGCTGCGCTTGTGTTGAGCAGTGGGGTTGCATTAGCGCTTCATACTCTGCCTGCAGGTAGACATCAGTGCTGTTGTGGCGTACACCATTGCTGTGAAGGAGGATGGTGAGCTCACCTTGATGAAGAAAGCAGCCAGCATCACCTCTGAGGTCTTCAACAAGTTTTTCAAGGAAAGGGTCATGGAAATAGTGGATGCAGATGAGGTAATGGAAATTGTGTGGATGAAGCAGTACCAAGTCCCTGCTCAGCTTGTAGCACATTTTCAGTTGTTTTGTTTTTTACTTCGTTTGAAGTTAGTAACTATGCTATCTCTCCTTCAAAGTAAGTAAACATGTACTATGTTTTATTGAAGCTGTAATTTTGCTGGAGAGACTTAGAAAGCTATGAATTCCATATAAGCTCCACATTTCTTTATTTTTTTTTTTATTTTGTTTTGTTTTATTTTATTTTGATTTTTCAAGACAGGGTTTCTCTGTGAAACAGTCCTGACTGTTCTAGAACTCACTCTGTAGACCAGGCTGGCCTCAAACTCACAGAGATCCACCTGCCTCTGCCTCTGCCTTCTGAGTGCTAGGATTAAAGGCGTGTGCTGCCGCCACCACCCATGCCTTCAGATGACACATTAAAAATCATGCACTTCAGCCGGGCGTTGGTGGCGCACGCCTTTAATCCCAGCACTCGGGAGGCAGAGGCAGGCGGATCTCTGTGAGTTCGAGGCCAGCCTGGGCTACCAAGTGA